CTTGGTAGTCCGGGCTGGCCTCGAACTCACAGAGATCCGCCTGCCTCTGCCTCCCGAGTGCTGGGATTAAAGGCGTGCGCCACCACCGCCCGGCAAAATTGAGGTTCTTGACTAAGCTTACCAAGAGTGAGCCAACTACAGACATTAATAAACAAAATATCACTGAGAACAGGTCAGAGTCATGGGGTCAAGACTTCCTGGGCACAGAAGGCTGGGATCATGGCCATCATGAGAAAAGAAAGGAGGGGGAATGGAGGAGAAGGCAGGAATGTACTTTGGGATTCTGTTTTGTCTGCAAGACATGGAGACAGGGATAATTCTAACTTGTGGAGATGTTTCTGGTTTGTTAGGGAAAGAATTATGAATATGTAAACATGGAAATATCTTTTAGATATTGAATGTAAACAAACCACCCTGGGACATAGGTGTTTTCTCTCTGATTTTCCATAGAAGGAGAAAAACAGGAGTCAATAAAAGATCAGAAGGAACTTGCTAGAAGAGCTTGAACGGATGCATCACCCCATCACTGGCTCCATTTTTCTTCATGCAGCTGGTGGCTTATATATTTTAGCTGTGGTGATTGTGGCTTTCTCTTCTGGACCCTGTTCATTTTATATAAACATTGCAATGATTTCAATCAGGTTAATCTAGGTGGAAATTTCTTGGCAAATCTAAGCAGTGGCATTTAAAGAGAAAAGCAAGAGAATGATTAACTCTCAGTTTGGAACAGAGGCTCTCTCTGGGAAGAGGACAGAAAGAGGGAGGGAGGTAGCAGCAAGTGGGGCAGGTTGCGGCCAGGTGAGCACTACAGAGATGCTTCACCCTTGGCGGAGGTTTGTTTCCTACTGAGCACAGAAAATGCCTTGGGCTCATTCCACAAATCCATGGCTTCCTCAAGAGAGGTGCTATGTGTGTTGTCCATCTCTCTCAAAGCCAAAGCTGTCCATCCCTTGTCAGGGACCAGCCCTGACCTGTCAAAGGGTTCTTGAGGGGAGGAGTGAGGAATGGAGAAGTGTTAGACAGAAATATAGGCCTAGATGAAGAGAAAGATAGAGACACAGGATAGCTTAGGGAGGGTCCTGGGTCAATACCCAGTCGCCCTGAGTTTAATCATGATGGGCATTTTATACATCAGCAAGGGGAGGAGCAAAAGACCTCCCCCTTTCAAGGTCGAGGAATAGAGCACCAACAAGTGTAGACTCATTAAAACACCTAGTATCCATGCCTTTGGCCAAATCATCCTATTATGCAGCCCTGCTAGGCAAAGCAAGCTCAGACTTCCTGACCTTGAGTAAGGCCTTACTAGGGAAACTCTGTGGGCCCCCACAATTCCTGGTCTGGACAATTTGGCCTCCAACTCTGGACCCCAGGGTGAGGTTCTTGTGTTTGGAGCTTGTCTGCAAGAAAAGATGTGATGTCTCACATTTTAGTTTTTTCTTCTCCCAGGAGCTGAGACCATAGGCTTTAGAGTCACAGAGTCTGGGGCTTAGTTCCTCCTTGGGATACTTCCCAAGTCATCATTTTGAGCACTTAATTCTTGGCTGCTGACTAAACTCATTTGCACAGTAGGCACAACACCAGTCAGGAAGGGTGTTGTCACTGTTAGGGATAAGGACTGGCAAACACTGCTGTGACTGAGAATCATAGCAACTGACTCAGACTGCTGGCTTTTCTTGAGAACCATTAACCACCATTAAATAACCAATGCTGATAGAATTCAGCATGATTAACACACAGCATCGCTCTGGTGAGAAACAGTGCACTTGTAAATCACCACCTGTAAATTGGGTCTTCTTTCCAAATTAAAATGCAATTTTTTTGGTGTGGCTTCACCTAGCGCAATTTAACATCTCTAGCTTCTATTTCTTGATGGTCAGGTCTTTCATTGCATCTCAGTTTTGGCTGTGAGATTCAGAGTCAATTTTATATAAAAGTGTTTTAATGTGGACTGTTC